AAGAGTGTAGACTTTTAATAGAGTTTAGTAGAAAACTACTCTGAACATACTCCACAGTTTAAGATTTAACTTGCAAACCTACACATAATCTAAAAGAGACTCGTGCATTGTTTGACAAGCCCTTAGAATTGAAAAATGAATCTCTACACATTGTCATACCCTGTCCAATAGGGGTATAGATATGTAATTTAGTCACTCGGCTGTGGATTGTGTATGTGTCACTTCTTACGTGACTTAGTTGATACGTTTTAATAAAGACAAGCTGTAAGTATAAAGACCCCCATGCTGGCCTTTGTGGTATTATAGGATAATACTGACGGCTTGCCTGTTTCACTTTCCACACCCTTTAAACTATTCTCAATTCTCTCAGGTCCGTCCTTATTTTACAAGTAGGGAAATCAAGGCACTTGTCCCATGTAGTGACGGAGTGAGCCACAGAATATGTCTGGGCTGGTTCCCAGACCTGTGCTTGGAACACAGGCCTTTATAGTGTTCCTGCACACTGTTTGGCCAATGAGGGATCAAGTGAATGTTTTATAGTTTCATAGCAGAGCTTGGAACCAGAATGGACCAGTTCGAAGCACTAAGGCTTCATAGTGATATTTTGTGCACACATCCAAGGCTTCCTAATGGGCTTTACAGTTAAAAAGCTGGTCACACCCCCAGCAAGAGAGTATGGGTGTAAATTGTGCTGGTGGCAGTTACTTAAGGTTGTATATGTCTGGTTGGAACTTGCCTGTATAAGGAGGTAAAAACAAAGTTTGTTGCTGGTCCCCATTGTTTTTCCTAGTGTTTCAGGATTGGGCAGTCTTATTCACTCTTCTGAGCAGTGATTTTTGCTTAGACAGGAAATTGCTAGCTTTTGCCCTTACGGTCTTTTTCTGAAGCCTCTACACACCATTTAAGAGCTTGGGGAGACTTTTATTTCCCTTGAAAGTCTGTAAGGCTCTCCTTTCCTGGTGGGAGCTGGTTACTCAGTTGGGAACCACCTGTGGATGGTCTCTTGAAACCAGGTGTATCTGTCCAGGGGCAATATGGTGGAATTTATTAAAATTTTACATTAGAATAATACATTTAAGCCAACAGAATTCCTTTTTTGAAAGAAGTGAGCTGAGATTGGTACTGGAAATGTCCGAACTTAGGGAGTGCTCTGAATCCTGGCTCAAGGTCTTTTATACTTAAAAACAACAACAAGAATACAGGTAAAATTTCTCTGGGGGAAGTGTAAGGCTTGAGCCAGTCACATGGCAAAACTGCCTTTGGTTCAGCTTTGACCCTAGGAGATGTCTTAGGAAGACTTGAGAACATGGTTTAAATAAACTACTCTGTTCTTCAAGAATGGTGAGAAAAAGATATTTTACATTACTCTGGGAAAATTATTTCTGAGTAGTTTTTATAGAACATGAAAGAAATTTATTATTAAGGGATCAAAACTAACCCACTTTTTGTCTTAGGCCATTTAGATAGGTGGCGTGTTTCTGGAATAATTTCCAGTGGGCATATGTGAATGTCCTCCCTGAGGCCTGCTTGTGAATTGTTTCTCTTTGTTACATTTCTCTTGAGCCAGATTATCCA